AGAATAATCTGTCCCTGATCCACTGCCACTGAACCTTGATGAGACCCCACTTTGTAAATTAGATGCAGCATAGATCAGGAGCTTGGGAGCCTTCCCTGGTTTCTGTTGATACCAGGCTAAGTGCTTGCCAATGTTCTGACTAGCCTGGCAAGTGCTGGTGATGGTCTCTCCTAGAAATGCAGACAAGGAGGATGGAGACTGGGTCATCTGGATGTCACATCTGGCACCTAAGGATGGAAAACATAAAGACAAATTACTACATGATTAATCATGTTATAAGAGGACTTCCGTGAACAACTTGGCAGCACTGACCACAGTAGCAGAGTAAATTTCTAATGTTCTCCCTCCTTACCTGGGAGCCAGAGCAGCAGGAGCCCAAGGAGCTGAGCGGGGGCCCTCCTATCCATGCTGTGTCCTGACTGGGACTGACACCTGCACAGAGTGTGAACAGCCTATAAATAAGTCTTCAGGGCAGTGGGCTGTGCTCTGGGAACATGCAAATGACAGGGGCATAGACAGGGCTGGGCACAGCTGCAGTGCTGACTCCTCTCAGTAATTCAACACAGGGGCAGTGTCCCCAGGTGTTCCACATCACACCAGGGAGCACAGATTTGTCTGCCAAGAACACATTTCTTTCTGGAAACCACAGGAAAGGGTTATTCTGCCGTCCTGTTAGCAGTGTTCTACTGCTCTCTGGGGTTCATAACCCACTTCTCTTATTATCTCTGTATCTAAGACAATGTCTCTCAGATAAAACACACCCTCAGAAAAGAAAAGATAATCTTAAGGCTCCCTGCCTTGGGAACTCTGCATATTACTGACAGCTGAAATGCTTTCTCATTGCTCTGATTACCTGATAACCTCGGCGTGGTGAGTTATCATTCCTACCATTCGGAGATGTGGTGAGTAGAAAAGGAATTTTAAAAAGTGCTTATGATTTTTCATAAAATGCCCAGATATTGGGTGTCTGCCTTTGCTAAACTAAACAATTTGGTATGAGTTTTTGTTGGTGCAAAACAATTTGCATCTGTCCATAGTTTTTTTCATAATATGCATTTTCCATGAACTTTCCGAGGACCCCCTGCAATCTTAACATTTTTATCCATTAAGGAAAATACGAACCCATGAGTTAAGGTGGCTATTTAATGAGGAATTAGTACCTGAATTATCAAGGAACTTTTCAACAAATTTTTATTAATTTCAAATGCATGAGAAAAATCTGACAGACACAACCTTAATTGAGAAACTGAACTGAGCATCATCAGTAACGGGCCTGACTGAAATTACCTATTTAATGAGGAATTAGTACCTGAATTATCAAGGAACTTTTCAACAAATTTTTATTAATTGCAAATGCAAGAGAGAAATCTGACAGACACAACCTTAATTGAGTAACTGAACTGAGCATATCAGTAATGGGCCTGACTGACATTATGGAATAACTAATGGGAGGCCATGAGCAGAACACAGCATCACTTCTGGACGTTCCTGCCAAAGATGTGTCACCTGAATCTCACCAAGAGGAAAGCAAACAAATCCAGACTGAGTGACATTCAACCAAATAACTGGTGTGTAATCATCAAAAGTAATAAGATCATGAAATTTAGGGAAATACTAAAAAACTCTTCCAGACTGAATGAAACTAAAGAGACAGGGAAGCACGTGTTTCTGGGCTGGATGAGTTTGTTGCAAAAGACAATATGAGTCCACCTGTCCACACTTGAAGCAATCCTGTGGGTTAGATGTAGTAACATAATAATGCTGACTCTCTGATTTCATGGTTGTACTGGGTTATGTAGAATCATTTTTCATTTTTAGGAAATACATGGCAAAGGCTTAGAGGTTGGGGCTGTCAGTTCTTCAACTTACTCTCAAATGGATCAGAAGAAAATAATTTGGGCTGTACCTATAACATTTCTGTGTGCTAAATGTATCCTAAAACATTTTGGAATGGCTTTATCCATCATTAAGGTTATTAAAGGACCAATTAATCAATTGCAGAAACACAAAATGTCACACATGTCCTCAAAGAAAGATGCAATCCGGTCAGTTCACTGGGTATTCAAGATACCTGAGGCTCTGGACAAAAACATGTCTGTGAATGACACACCCTTTTGCTACTTTTTGTCTTCAAGTATTTTAAAACTTTTGGTAACTGCATACATATTTAGATTTCCATTTCCTTTTAGTGAATTGACTATTTTATCGGTCGTTTAATATCACTGTCTATCCGCAGTAACTTTCTCTTCTGAAGTTGTATAGTTTTCTTTAAGGTGATAACTTGTGAGTTCTGCTGAGCTTCTTATAGGTCAAAATTTATTTCCCTGACCAAATTTGTGAATTTTCTCCCGTTATTTATTCACACATTTCTGGGGAAATTCAATTACATTAATTTATTGCTTCTTAATATTTCCAAGATGATTCTAAGTGCCTTGGGGGGGGAGGGGTTGTTTGTTTGTTTGTTTTGTGTGTGTGTGTGTGTGTGTGTGTGTGTGTGTGTGAGTGTGGTTTTCCAATCCTTTATCTCTATGGTTCAGATTGGTTGGTTTCTATTTATTTTTAAGTTCAATCACACTTTTCTATGTCACATCCATCCTGTTTGGGGGTTCACCCACTTGAATTTTTTTATATCAGATATTATGATTTTCAGTTCTAAAATTTCACTGTGTTCTTTTAAATTGTTAATAATTTAGAACACAACATGTGAAAGAATAGAAAAAAAAATTACTGCATCTATTTAAACTATTCAAAGAGACTATTGACACTGTGCGCCTGGGCTCTTCCTCTAGGGACTGGACTCCAGGCTGTGGCTCTTGCTGGGCGCTTGTTCCTGCAGCACATTCATGCTCCCTCTGCTGGCTGATGTGCGCCCTCTAGTGGCACTTTGCGACAGCAAATCCGGCCTTTCACGTTTGGAGGGAGTTACATAGTCCACTAAGAACACAAAAGCTATGGAACCGTCTCCCAAAAAACTGCACTACCAAAGAGCATTAACATAATGCTGACGAAAATTTTAAATAAGGAGTTTCATATATTCTGCTGGGAAGTGAGATCTTACCCTTTACTTCAAAAGTATCTATTTGTGACCTCATGGGAAATCATTATAGTAGATTCTTTAAAGCCTTTGTCAGAATATTTCTACATCTAAATAATCTCATTGTTGGAATTTGTTAATTTTCTGTTTTCCTGGGAATTTGTCACATTTTCCTAGTATTTTATATGTAAAATTATTTCAAATTGTTTCCTGAACATGGTAAACATTATCCTGAATCCTGCTACAATCTTCTGGAGAATTTTATTTTGTTATTATTGTGGTTTGTTTGAGTTTCACATGGTATGTTCTGTCATTCCTTTAACAAGCAAGGGCTCCAGTACAAGTTATGTTTTCAAAGATTTGCCATGATGTTTCTGTTTGTCTCTGTGATGTGCATGTGCCACTCGAATGTTAACTTGATTCTTGCACTTTGGTTTATACAGTATTCTATTGACTAAAGTCTACATTCTTTTGAGGGGGCAGGAAGTGTTTTCTGCTCAAGATGAGATTAATCATTACCTTGACACTCAGTTTGTAAGTAGTTCATTCACAGGAGTAAAGTATCTCCACTTTCAGTAATCACATTACCCCACCACAAATTGTCTATTAAAAGTCTTATTTTTAATTTTCTCTCAGAGTTTTATTTTCCTGTACAGCCACACATTTCTACATAAGTACAGCCTCTCTCTAGCAAAAGGAAAACAAGAGAAAAATAAAGGAAAACATAATGAGAATTTCTTTACATTCATCAGACCACAGGGCACCTCATACTGGTTTATCTGGCCAGAAAGATTTTTATCAGCCACTGCTGTACCAGTGAAAATCTATGACCAGAGAGAAAGAATAAAGAAAACAGTGACCTACCCCCCTACTCCTGCATTCACAGTTGTCCCTTTCCCCAGCCTTTTCTCCAAAAGAAACGATTAATTTTGATATGTGTGTGTGAGTGTGTGTGTGTGTTTCATACCCATTGAACTCTTGCTTAATTTGGGTTTTCCACAGGTCACGTATGAGAGATAAACATGCCACACAGTCTATTAACACTGTTCCTGCCTATGGAATCAAGAGATTCACATTTTGCAAGTTTTTAGGTATTCCAAGAGTATTTCAGTCTCTTTATGAAATACACAGTCAAGCATCCTCCTGCAAGGATGCTGTGTAAAAACACATAGTTTTACAACTCTTGTTGACATAGCGTTACAACTCTCTGTTCTGGTTTTTTAGACATCTCTTATTACATATAAATATACTTCATAAATTCTTTTGCTTTATTCATTTTTTTGTTTACAACACATCCTTCTGAAAATGCTAACATTATGTTCTCACATTCAAATTAGATTTGGTATTGTGGCATTTCTTTTGATGACGATCTATGCCTTCTGAAAACAAGGTGGCAGGTGTTTCAGCTGTTCATTCTGCTAGCGGAGATGAAATAGCTCAGATTCACCAACACCCTCACCAGTGAGGGTTTCTCTCAGACTTGAGCTTGGTGATGGGAGCCTCAGTGATTTTTCTAGTGACCTGAAATCTCAGCATCCTCTTCCTTGTTTGGTACTTTCTTCGTGTAGGACATAGCTTATTTGGTGGATTAAATAAATTGTGAATTCATTATACATAAACAGGTAAGTGAGCAAGCCTTGAGCAGCATGATAAGATATGGGAAAAAATAGATAATTAGTGATGGTACCGAGGTGGGTGAAGCTGGCTTGGCTCTGGGATGCACCACAGTGTCTCCTGTAAAAGCACAGAAGCAGTTCTCCATTGGGCATCAGACACGGCTCGGCTGTCCCTTTCACTGTGGAAGACAGACACAACTGTCCCTACTTGGTGCTTTGTTCCTTTACCTGTGGACTTTTCTGGTCACTAAGCAGTGACCTAGGGACAGTAGAATGGCTGATTTGTCTTTCTCAGCTTTCCTCACTGTGGGTTTATCCCTTTGGCTGTTTACCTGTTCATTAAACAAGCTGAATCAAGAGATGCAATCAGACATAAGCTTTATTATTCTCCATTATCTGACTAGGTTTTCCTCTGGGGCCAGTTTCTCTTGTTCCTTGCGTGACATCTCTGACAAGTCTCATGCCTTTTCCAGAACCCTTAAATAATACTGTTCTATGGGCATTTCTTGTCACAGGGGAGTCTTCCCTGAGTGCATGGCAATTCTAGTCCTCTGAAGAAGCACTTACTGTCCAGTGGGTCCCCACCCCCAGCTGGGCTCACCCTGGACTGTTGTCTGAGATGGTGGTGGGTCAGGTGGACATCAGATCTCTTTCCTTGTCTATATCCAGCTTCTTCCAGCTCCTCCATGTGTCAGGAGAGCAGCCGCCCCTCCCCAGCGCTGGGAGTCACTGCCTCTTCCAAAGAAACCACCTCTCA